GGCGGGATCATAAGCTCAAAATGTTTATTAAATTAAATTGAGTAACTTAACTGTATTCCAGTAAGCGAGACAACAGACAGGCGACCATTGTGTCAACACCAGTAAAGCGTTAACCGTTTCATTTCACGTCTACTGATTTAAATATGATTTTTTGATTTTTTTGTTGTTCCTTTTTTGAACAAAATTTGACATTGAAAGCGGTTCTTTTGTTACACGTACAAAACACAAAGTTACTTTTTGACAGGTATTGTCTTTAAAGCAATAGCTACCTCTCGCAATTGCCAGTACGCATAACTTTTTTTCAAGCTTCTTGCGTTTAATTATAATAAAAGATCGTACGAGCTCACTGTGCATGGTAAGAATAATGCGGAGCAAATTGAGACTAGTAAGCTAAAATTTAGTAAGCCAAGCTCTCTTTCAGTTCCGTAAACGGTTTGTCTCACGAATAGCTGTTATCTTTAAAATTCTTGTTCCTAGGAAATCAGCATGCACAGTTTGTCATAGTTGGCATTGTTTTGTTTGAGTCTATGTGCAGCTTGGGTAAGCAATGTGCAATCGCACAGGTTTTTGGTAGCAACAGCAATAATATATATCACCCTAAAAATCGAAATAAAGAGATCTTTGTCAACTTTCAAGGAATCCGATTGAGTTATTTAGTGTTCACTTTCGAGGAATCCGAGTGAGTTATTTAGTGTCAACAATAAGTGGCGTCTGATTACTCAATGCGTTAAATTAAATTCTATGCCTGTAATTCTTTATTGACTTTTTTTTATGCTTTTTATACTGGTCACCGATTAATACCAGTCAATTTATATCTTGATCGACTGACCGGTCTTTACCAGGATAAATAAAGTTATTATTATTATTATTATTATTATTATTATTATTATTATTATTATTATTATAAAATGAAGATAACTTGATTACAATGAGTAATTCTTAGTAACTTCGCAAATCTGAACTAAGCACGTATTGAGAAGCTATTGATTACTCAGAGTACTTAAACAAGCGCCATTCGAGTATATTGCCCAGTAACTTTTAAATACTCAGCGATTTCAAATCGAGCGGTTCTCAATAACTCAGAGAGGTTATACAAACAGAAAATAAATTGACACTGAATTGAGTTCATCGACTGAGTAATGTTTAGCCACTCGGAGCGATTTGAAAAATACGGGTTTTGAGCATCGTTTGAACACATTGAGTAATTACTAATTATTACCTATCGTGTATTGAAAAGTTACCCAATAAAGTTTGTTATTTATTCACTGAAAATGTTTGTTTCGTATTTCCCTTACTTTAGAAATATTTCCATTCCCAACGGCACATGTCGCCATTTTGAATTATCAAATCCACCCGGTCTCAGAAACTTGTTTGACCGGTTTTACCATGATGTCAGTGCTTTCTCATTGGCTTACGCCCAAGCCTTTGTTCTTTCGCTATATAAGCGCGACACCACCCGGATGGTTGGGCGGCACACTCAAGAAATTTTAAAGCAATGCCACGCATGCATAATGACGCATGTGAATTTCTCTTATATAAACCAGTTCTGGGTTCATGGGCTCGTTAATTAATTCGGCGCGTTAATTAATTGCATTCGGCGCGTTATTTAATTTTAAAGCAATGCCACGCATGCATAATGACGCCTGTGAATTTCCTTATTAACCGACATGAAATGCATATCATTAAACCAATTCTGTATTCATGGTCTCATTAATTAATTCGGCGCGTTATTTGATTGAACTACTTCCCAATGCAAGCTATCTAGTGAACGTTCCATTGTTTTACACAATTTCACACAATTCATTGCATAACTTTTTTCCACCCGCAATCACTGGCTGGGATTCTCTGGACCTTGATGTCCAAAACTCTGTATCTCGTCCTACTTTTAAACCTAAAATACGGTCAACTCTTTTTCCTCACTCACAATAGGTTGTTTGATTTTTCTTCTCCAAGGCTTCATCTATTGATCACACCCGCCGTAGACTTGGGTTTCCTTGTCTTAGAGAATATCTGTTTAAAATTAATCGTTGTGCGTCGCCTGTTTGCGAGTGCGGTCTTGTATCTAAATTAATCGGTGAAACATTTTGTTTTGTTTTGCTCAAGGCATGTCGCTCAACATTATGTCCTCTTTACCTCTGCTGCTAATATTCTCGATGAAACATGGTCATCGAGCAGCGACGCTAGGAAACTAAACTTTTTATTGTACGGTGTTCAGTCTATAAATTACGACTGTGCTTTTTTTTTCCACAAGAACAAAGTTTTATAATTATTACTAATAGCTTCTCGGTGGCCACTGTTTGATTGTTAAAATTATATGTCAGCTTAACTCGATGTTTTCAGCGTAATTTTTGCGTGTTGTTTGTGTGTGTGTTTGTGTGTGAGCCTGAATAAATGAAGTAAAATTGTAATATTGTAATCCCTCTTGATAAGCCTAGGTGCTTTTGGAGAAAACAACATCAAATATGTTTAAACAAAGAGAATAAAAAAAATTATAAAAAAAAGAAATTAGCACTTCATGAACAACCGAGTGATCTATTTAACTGTCTCATACATACAGTCATTATGCTATCCTACACTTCTAAGTTCCTGTTTTTCTTTTCGTTTTTCACGAAGAAGTGGCTTTGAGAGATCACATATCGCAGGAAAATAATCATCAGTGTGATCAAAAGCCACATGTATGATACATTATGCGTGCATGAACATTTGTAACTGCTGAAACCAGCAAGAGCTTACTAGAGGTTATCAGTGTGTAAATAGGTTCCCACGTTAACGAACTGTAGAAATGCAACGAAACTTTTTCACTACATATAGTCTCACAGTTACGTCCCGTAAACAAGATTGAAACGCAATAAATTAAATTTAGCCGATGTTAAATATTATTAATTAAGGGACGAAATTTACCTGAGCTCCTGGAATTCCCGGCAAGCCATTAGAGCCTCTATCGCCCTGCAGACCCATTTCTCCTTCTGTCCCAGGCTTTCCATTAATCCCGGGCTGGCCATCTTTCCCCTGTCAGATAGGAATCAACATAAAGTATTGTGATGAGTTGGGATCCTTGTCTGTTTCAAGGTTGATAAATGATCAGTAGCAAGGCGTCCCTACGTACGCCATCTTAATTCACCTTTTAGGATCGAATTCGGTTGCGAATTTAAATTTCTTTTTTGTCTCCCGAGACTTTTCAGTTTTGTTTTTCAGATTTTTATCATCATTTGCACTATTTAGATAAAAAACATCAACAAGGAAAATATAGAAATGGAAAAGGAAAAGTGGACGTCAGTGCTTTTGAGTTGAACTGACAAGATATATTGTTACAAAAACTAACCTCCCCTCACAGAAACCACAGATAAAAACGGGAATTTTTCACTCATCAATTTTGAGAAAAATAGGGCCTGAGTCGCTCGTTTTCATGCCATTTTGCTGTATACAAAACGGTGTTTGTAATCTCAACAGAACAGCACTAAAATGAGGTAAAATGACATCACCTTGGGACCGCGCAGGCCTGGATATCCGGGAGGGCCAGGCCTTCCATCCAGTCCCTGTTAAAAAATAAAATAAAATGAAATAAAATAAAAATGGAAAAAAGTTGACAAGTAGCGAAGGACTACAGACTGTGTTTTTATCTCGGCAAAACGGAACTTTTCTAGAGATAAGATAAAGCTAAATCGTAAAAACTCTTTTTCCTTGGCCATCGTAGCTTTAGAAGAAACAAAACACAAACCGCGGTGATAAACATGGAACCAAAACGCATATTAAACAAAGTTAATTTCCTTGACGTTTTGTATGTACAACATACATCTTCAGAAGTGACCGTTAACTAGATTACAATCGAAATTTAAACGCGAAGAAAAAGAAAAAGACTGATAATAGATAAAGCTATGTACTAACTGGTTGTCCATCCTTCCCGTTCGATCCAGCAAGACCCGGTAAACCCGGAGGACCCTAGCAAATATCAAAACGAAATAAATCATCGTAAAATGAAGCACCATTGAAAAATGACCAAAATTCTCACAAATAAAAATAAATAATAAAAATATTAATTGTAAAAATTTCTGCTAGTGCTCACTTGTGTCCCTTTCGGTCCCTTTCTTCCAGTGCGTCCCCGCCTTCCTCGATATCCCTGAGAATAACGAGAACGTATCATACTTCGAAACCAATAAAATATCTATCAAAGCAAGAGATTTACAGCAACCCCCTCCCCCCTTCTCGTCTAAGGTACCCCCTTCCCTTTTTCCTCACAACCAAACCAATACACGACAGACTATTTTACCGATGTATTTTTTATCGAATATAAACCCACGTCCAGTAATTGCAAGCCTAAGGGGAATATTACTGAATGGTGCCTGTATGAAAGTGAATCGAATAGTACACTTTTATGATCAAAGTACCCGCTGACGTATTGCCATCGATTAAATAAGTACGTCCTTCTCCACAGTATGTATATTAACAACACAAGCCGCAATTGAATAGGTGTTTTTGTCTGACTACCTTTAGTAAACGCTTTAGAATGTTGAAAGCTTGATGCTAAAGTGTTTCAAGTTCGTCCTTTGTATATTGATCTATGTATACCGTTAACCATTATTTTAGATAAAACAATCCTAAACATCTATGCAAACGCTCATGGCCACTTAAAGAGACACTCACTGCTCTGCCAGGGGAACCACTGACTCCCGGCGTTCCTTGTTTCCCCTTACTACCCTACAAGAAACGATTAAATAATCAGAAAAAGCCACGCAAGCACCTCGAGCAGTTGCATTGATAAAGAATAATAAAAAAAATGTGTGCCAGTTAATTGGGACATTATTATATATCAGGTCTAAAAAGAGGTTAATCGTTTTGACAGTGCTCTTAAACTTGACAAAACTCTCCTTTTGTTATAAGCTTTACTTGTACATGTTCCAATAAAAAAATTTTCATTCCAAGAAAAAAAATTATTTCTAACCATTTTTTTTTTNTGGCCACTAGTAGAGAGGTGATAACGAGGTCAGGGAGGCAGATCAAGGCGTGGACACGTTTTGATGTTTAAGAGGGCAGGAAGCCTCATCAAAAATGTAAAAGGAAGCATGGTAATCATAATTTCAAAAGAACAACATGCTTATAACGCCTAACCTCGTGTAGACAAATATGCAGTCGAACCTCCTGTAAGCGACCACCTAAAATGTGAAGCCTAGGGCTTAGACCATATTGAGTCAAAATTTTGCCTCATTAGCATATGGTAACTCGAGCCGTAAAAGGGCCAAAAATTTAACCGTTAGGCGTAAAAGCTACTACGCCATTGAGACCCTCTAGCAATATTGCTTCCATAAAGCAGTTTAAGTGTTTACTTGTTTTCGTTTGTTTGTTTTTGTTTTATAACGAGTCACCTACCATGTTACCCTTGAGCCCAGGTCTCCCCTCCTCACCTGGGAGGCCCGGTGATCCTGGATCCCCAGCGCGTCCCTCCTCTCCCACGGGGCCCGGCTCCCCGTTCGGGCCAGTTGGACCCTGACTCCCCTGGGGCCCGATGTCCCCCTTAGCTCCAGGAGTTCCGGGAGCCCCCGTATCTCCTATTACTCCAGGCAATCCCTGAAATACAAAGCGACACAATGAAAACTTCCAAACCACACACTTACAATAAAGACCAGGGAACTTATCCTTTCGGGCAGGGGGAAGAGATAAAGGTAGAAATCCAATAAAAAATGGAAGGGGAACTACTACTACCACCCCTGAGGAAGGTTTCTTTTCCAAAACGAAATATCTGGTGACTATATTTTACAGACTTGGAATCGCAAAGAAAAACGCTTGTCTCGCCTCCTTGCTAGCTAGCATTTACCATTCACCTCCCCTCGGTTAGTTACGCAGTTACATTTTGTCGCCGAGCAAACCCTGATGCCATATACATATTGGAAATCTGTAAACAGGATAGATAGAATTCTAGCGCATTATCGTGGAGTCGGACTGTGTATACCGCTGCTTCTTACAGAATCAAGTACAACACTAAGAATTGGCACATACCGCTGACCCTTCCCTGCCTGTCTTTCCTCTAGGACCCTCTCTACCCTGGGAAAAACATAAGAAAAAAGGATGTTCAGGTGAGAGCAAAGAAGTGATAAATATGATTTCACACCGAATATGTCNTTAATGCGGGTTGCCCCGTCACGTGACCAGCAGCCATGCAAATGTATGGAAGTGGAAAATAATGTTTACATGAGAAAAGAGTTCAACTCCCACAGGATCGGTTTGGGACCGTCGTTTCACTGTTTCGGTATACCAATATGGCTAACGTTTCATTGTTGCTACACCAATATGATATGGCTACCGTGACGTCTGTGGAAAAACTCTTTATTGCATCTTTTAATTCATTCGCAGTCAACGGCTCACCGTTTCTCCAGCTGGTCCAGGTTCACCAACCTCTCCGGGGGTACCCGGTCCTCCCTGAGAAGTGAAAAAATAGAAAAACAAAACACACAAGTGTATCTTAATGCTAGCTTCTAGTCCGGGGATGTTAATTTAATCTTAAAGGAGCTCAGTCGCGACATTTGAGCTATTTTAGCAACGTACAAAATGGAAATAGTAGTTTGTTACAATAGAAAAACACCAAAGAGATAGTAACAATCCATAAAGAATGGTTAAGAATGGAGAAGATTAACACGGATTACGAACGATGAACTTGAAACAGTTAGGCTAAACTTTTCAAGATACATGCACGCTGACCGTTTCTTTGCTCCTTTAACGCCGGGGGTTATTAGCTAAATGCAGGGGCGTCCAGTATTCTTTACTCATACATCTGGGATCTGTTAACAAATTCATAGTGCTGAACTAGAGAAAGCGCTTTTGTTCCAGTGAGCGCGCCATTCCCTTGTTCAAGGAGATATTAGATTGATTTTAACGACCAAAATATTTAAGGAAGACTCTGAAATGGCTGACAATTGTTTTAGGTCCCATAACCACGATAATTTTAATGAAGTTAAAGGGGCTAGGTCGCGCTATTTTAGATAATTTTGTTTAATTTTGTTAATTATGAGCTCTAAACGTCAAATTGGCAGAGCAAGAGTCTTTCATTTGCAAAATCACTGTCACATAACAACTGAGAATGATTTTCCAGCTGTGTAAATTGCATTTTGATATAAACTGATATAAATTTGAAAAAAAGGTGGGCCGACATTTTTCAAATTTACCAAATACAACACATTTTAATCCTCTCCAGTTTTAGTCCATCCATGTCCCTTCTTGGCTTTCCTGTGTTTTGCTTGAGATCTTCTATAGTTTTGAGCCGTTTTTGTGATATTTTAGTTAATTCTATGACCATTTGATCAAAGCTGAAATTGCCTAAAATCGCGTGACCTCGCCCCTTTAAGGACAAACGATAACTTACGTCCTCTCCGCGACGTCCAGCTCTTCCCGGTGGACCTGGCGTTCCGGACGGTCCCTTGAGACAAAGAAACAAAACTAATAAATTTCAATTAACAAGTGTAAATTTTTTAAGTGTTTCCTGAAAGAATTGGTTCTTTTAGGCGGGAGTAATGGATAAATAAACAGTACCAACAACTTCAATCACCCCTATAAGAATGGTCCTAAAAATTTCTCTTTTTGTTCGGTTGGAAACCAGACTACAGCTTCAAACGGCCTGGAATTTTAACAGATGACAAATCATGATTTGATATTATCGAAACCCAGACAGACAGCTGACAAACCCTACGTGCTTGACGACAGCCGTCTCCAGAAAAATCCTCCCCGGGGGGGGGGNGTCTACGGCCCACTTCCCAAAACCTTTACGCTATTTATGACCAAAATCTGCGTTTTTTGCTACCCTATTTATGACCTGTCCCTTGCGGCTGACACAGTTATCCCAAACATAAGTTGTGAAGGGCTTTTGCTGACGATTTTATCGATAAAGATGAAAAGGCAGCTTCTTCTAAGAAACATACCCAATTCAAGACTAGGGTGCTAAAACCATACCCTATTTATAATCAAAATGGACAAAATCGATATCCTATTTATGACCAAAACGGCTGAAAAACCCTCCTCTTTGGGGCCGTGCATACCTATATAGCCCACATAAGGGAGTACCCACTCCCACCCGGGAAAAATCTCGAACAAATTCAAAAAAACAAAAAACTATTTAGCTAGCGTGAATTTCTGTGGGGAAAATCGAAAATATTATTCTTTAAATCCAAAAACTGAGTTTGCCTTTCTTTACTAAGCAGATTTATTCAAGATCACTCGCTTTTAATTGGAAGCAACAAAGTAAACAAAATTGTCATGTTACGCTGGTTAATTCTGTCTGTACCCACCGGTTCGCCGGCACTGCCCTGTTCTCCCTCTGCCCCCGGTTTTCCGTTTTCTCCCTAGGGCAAATAAAAATCAATACATCAATAATTGGAACAGTTCCCTAACTGAATAATTCAATTATTATTTATTGGAAAAAAACTGGGACCTCAGCATTACAAATGCCACTACCATCGCCAGTAAATTATTGAAAATGAATAGCTCTTGAAAGCAACCAAAGGAACCGATGGAAGCTGCTGTGTTGACGACTGGATAGACATGCCAAGAGCCACGATGGATTAAAATTTAACAACTTTATCATTTTTATGGTTTACACTCAAAAATATAATTCAAATTAATGAAATGTCATTGGGTTACCCTCATCGGGATACTGAAGACAAGGGGTAAAAATTCGGAAAAGGAAAAAGAAATGAAACAACAAAATATGGAACAAGAATTGTTCTACGTGATAAAACTGCAGCTTACGTCTTGCCCTCTTCTTCCTGAAACACCAATTCTACCAGAGGGTCCCTAAAACAGGAAAAACTGCATATTTAATCTGTGTATATATGCAAGAAGTACGTGTGAATCCGCCCAAAATAAATCACTAGGGTCGACCTTTACTCTTTTAACCTGCCACCGTTAGATCGTATTAAATTAAAACTAATCAACGACGTTACTCCGGCCGACTGAAGGGTTGAAGGATAAGATTTTCGGCTCTGATTCCAACGACAAATCATCGTTTAGAAAATGGTTAACTTACTTGGAGGTAGTAAGTTGTTGAAACTTAGCTTATCGTGTGAAGGTGGCCAGATCAAATGATCGGAGTACTTCGATTAAAAAGCAACTTCATACCACTGACTAAGGGGAAAAGTCGCGTCTTTGCAAGCACTTTGTTTTTCCTAGTGCAAGGCTCTGGCTAATTCTGTCTAAGATCCTTTCATGGAAAGGAAACCTGTTATCGAACAAGGCGATTTTATGGCGGCACGCAGATTTAACATCAGATACTCTGGAAGATAGTGGTGTCTGTCCAACGTCCTTGAAAAACAAATATCCTGCCCTAAATTGAAAGTGCTCTGTGGCAGACTCATTCGTGAGATCTTGCCAAGTACTGTCAAACTACAGGTTATTATCTAAGGATTTATCACACCTAATCTTGCAGAATATTAGGCGATACTTCATTGCGATTTCGTAGGATAATTGGTTAAGGCTAGCGGATCCATAAGCATAATGCTAGCTATTAATGAAATTTCGGATAACTTGTCAAGATTAATTAAATGTTGCTCTCTGTTCTTCAGGATTCTTCTGACGTATTAGCAGCTTCAACTGACCTACTTCAGGAACTAAAGTCAACATGTCGGCTGATGTTTTTGATTCGGCAAGAGGTGAAAGTTTCAGAAATACAGGTAACTTTTTGAGATCTATGAAATGTCTTTAAGGGTCATGTAACAAAATGTTACTCTACCGGATCCCCAGGTGCGCCTCTCACTTCCACGAAGCCCACGCTCGGTCCTTTGTTGCTCTGCAACGTAAAGAGCAACATCAGAAGATCACAAGAGCATGATGAATCACACCTGTTATGTTGTTATATGACGTCATAATTGACGAGTAATCACTCCCTCCCCCCTGAAAAAAAAAAATGAATACTTGGCATACTACGAAAGTTCTTTTCCACTCTTTCGCGTGAATACTTTCTTGAGGGACGGGATAGGAATCTCAGAATCTCAGAATCAATAAAAACCTTAGAAAAGGTCGAGCTGAAGAAGACTAGAGTAACGATCACACCCGGAACCTAAATGATTAACAGTTGTTTCATCACTCACAGCTAGACGCGATGGTGGTAAAGGTAAGGGTCCCGCGCCATTTGTGACGTTGTAAAATGTCCCGGGAGGTCCGGGGAGACCTGGACGTCCCGGCAGTCCTTTTGGTCCCTTTGCCCCGGGACCTCCCTTACCGCCCTAAAAAAAGACAACATGAAGTTAGACGGATTGCCCCTCACAAACAGAGGATGAAGTAATGCACTCTTTCTTTTTTATAAGAATATCGAGGCTGAAATTTACAAAATTTTAAGAATATTTTAATTACGAATAAACCCGAGGCTAAGATTTTGAAAAGAATTTAATTTCTTTGTGTAGAAAATTTGTAAGTACAATACAATTATATGTTTTCACCTAAACCGTATAAAATCCTTCTTCTCTCAATCTAAACGGCAAAACTAGCCAAAAAGCAACAAAAACAGCACTAGGCGTATGCTCGACGCTATAATCTAAGAATATTCACAAAATTATTTTCAGCCTAAAATCGGCAGAAAAATAAGAATAGCCAACCTAGGACGGAAAAACAATATTCTTATAAAAAAAAGAGTGTACCATTATAATTACAATTATCAAAAAGAAAACTAATAATTCGAACATAATTATATCGATTAAAGAGAATAAACTGAAACAAAATGCCTGCTCTCCCATGATGAATGCCGTGTCTTTACACTGTTTACATGATTTAGAAGAGACCGCTACAGCCAGATTTAAAAGTGGTGAGATTTTGTGCTTGCCGCAGTTTGACGGATAAGCTCTTCCGCAGTACCGCACTATTATAGCTAAAACTGTTCCTTAAAAATAAAGTTGGTACGGGGCAGTGGAAGAGTCAGTTTGCCCACGCATTCCCTTATGAATAAGAAGGCATTTCACTACAGTCGGTGAACTATTCACCCATAAAGGCCTTATTCCCAAGGTAATCACTCAAAGTTACTTACTCCCGGTTTTTGAAACTCGCAGGAGGGTCTAGAAATAACCAATCCCGTGACGCAAAATTTTCTCATCCGGAAAGCCCAATTGGCTTATTATACATCCATAAAATCTTGATCATAAAAACCTCCACACAGCCCGTGTGATAACATTAACCGCTGAAGAGCTGAGTACAATGTCGAAATTTACTTGAGATGGATTACTAACTTGATCCCTCTTGGAACAACATGGTTCCGGATCTTGCGTATGTTTCAGAAAAGGAAAGTTGCCAATCTCAAAGTAACCTGGAAGATCACTTTAAATGAGCAGAAAGGGAATGAAATGCATGGGTTGATCGCGGCTGCCAAATACGCCTTGTAATGATTTTGTTGTTGTTGTTGTTGTTAATTACGTCTGTCAAGTATTCACTAGCATTGAAAGACGACTATAGAAATAAGAACGTGGCATAGTTGCTCTTATAAGATGTATAATGCGTGTACAGGAAATTAGATTGGAGTGGCCTTGTTCAACGTCCCCTCAATCACAATCATTCATGATCATTCGAGAAATAAACCAAGGTGTATCCCAGGGCAGATCCCCCTTCTAATTTTGAAGGCAAACTGCTCCCTGTGTAAGAGGTTGTCTCGGATGTGCTTTTCCTCTCTGGCCATGGCTGCCAGGAGATGGTTAGATATATTACGTAATTACAATTTGAGCTCCTTATTGACATCTTACTTCCTGGCCTCTGTCGCCTTCAGGGCCCTCTGGTCCAGGAGGTCCTGGACCCCCCTAAAAGGAACAAAACAAAAACAAATAATAACTGCTTTTTGACTGGGAGTGAGATCTTTACGGGAAAATCTCAAACCGAAGACCTAACCTCGCTAACGCTCGGTCAATACGTCAAGGCCGATGTTTGAGATTTTAATTCCCGAAAAGACTGACTGTTTGAGGTTAATAAATAGTTTATTACATGGCCCCAAGAGAACGTCAAGTTACTCTTAGCTTGATATTTTCTTTTGATGGCTTATAGAATGCTTTACTTTTATTTGTTTTAATTTCCTTTTGCTTTGTTTTCGCAGGCCCATAATCGACTCGTGCGCATCACGGGAGAATAATGCCCGAGAATTAGCCAATCGGAGAGTACGCTATATCGGCTACAAACGCAAGCCATATCGTAATTAACAATTAAATTATTCGCTCTCGATTTCTATGAGGTGATAGTTGATGAGGCCTTCACCCTATCACCTCATAGAAATCGAGAGCGAATAATCTAATTATTTTAGTAGAATTCTAACTGAAATTTCCTTCAAATAGCGATTTCAATTATTTCTGGTCTTAGTATTAAACTTCAAGCCTTAGAGAATTCTCGCGGACTGAATTAATTGTCAATTTGACATTTGCAGTTGTGTATGCGTGCTTATCAGTTTCTTTCAAAAATTTCGAGCTTTTTTAATTCAGGAAACCGTAAATGCTCATCTTCTGGTCTTCTCAGGAATTTTGTTTATTCTTTTTTTTGTAAATGTTCCTTCAAAACTACGGAGAAACGAGGAAATGTTGCAATTTTGTCGACCAAACCAAGCCACTGCATACTAATGACTGATAGTGTGCAATGGCTCAGCCAATCAGATTACAGCTTTTGCGTTAGTATACTAGTAGAATTCTACTAATAAAAGATAGAGTGCGAGCACGCTCACAGTCACGCTCGCACGTTTACTTGTTTTGCGTTCTTCCTAACAATTTTCAACGAAAAGAGAGACTGCTGGCAGTCTNAAAAAAAAAAAAAAAAAAAAAAAAGAAAATTAGAAAAATAAATAAAAAAACTACTTCATTATGATTGGCCGAGAGCAGGCCAATTTATCGTTAGTTTTTAATTTGCACTGAAGTTCAAATTAACACACGCGCCTCGTAATTTCCCCGGTAATCGTATGAAAGGTCGAGCAATAGAATGGCAGTGAGGCCGCAGGTGACCTTGTTTTGATAAAGGTCTCACTGCTTTTGCTGTGTAAAGCAAGTTGTCCTGACGCTAACTAGTTGGTTTTTAATTGAGAAAGGCAAAGAGGTCTGTATCAAAGCAAGGTCACCTCCGGCCTTGCTTGCATTCTTAGGCCAGGTAACTAAGCACACAACTGTAAAGATCTTTCAAATTGCACTCGCCTAAAGGGTCGTGTAATTTTGAGAAAATTTTCAAATATCAATTGTAGTATAAATCCTTAATTGCACTCGCATTCATACTATTAATTATAGTAATTAGGCAATAATATTTTGCAATAATATTTGTTTAATATTTACTGTACCTGATTAATCCTCTAGGGGTATAGTTGGGTGCCGCTGAATTTAATTCTAGAGGGGGTAACCCTGTGATGGAGCTGCAACAAATACTCCTAGTCTCTCGATGTAGAAGTTGCAGCCCCTAGACACTCGATGTAGAAATTTTATTTATCTTTTTTATGCGAGAGATCTGACAAAAACCCAGCAAAGAATGGATATTATGATATCTTTATTAAGCCATTCTTAAATGTTACTGGAGTATTTCGTAAAATATCTATGACTAATTAGGTTTTTTTTTTTTTTTTTTTTTAATACTTAATTTTTTTTAATTGATCTTGAAGATATTTATTCTCCAGTAATTTGCCGTAATTTCTAAGTTGGTCGCAACTCAAGTGAAAAATACGCTTTCACTCCCCTCAGATTACCGTGCCTTGATTGATCGCAGTCAATCGAATGCAAATGCGATATATTTTTTTTAAAGCTGGTGGTATTTCAACTCACAGCTCAAGATACATCTCCTTGACAGTCGATTTTCGAATGGTTGAATTCTATGAAATTCCACAATAAGGTCCACATACCTTGTCGCCTTTTGGTCCCGGGTCCCCCGGCGGGCCGATCTAAAATAAGACAGAGAACGGAAACAAACAACATCCAGCTATTTCATCTGACCATTTCACACTAAAACTAGAGCAACTACCATTTTATTGTCATATAGTCAAGCTATGTGCAAGAAGGATCACAATGAGCCAAGAAATAGAAAAGAATAAGGAAAAGAAAAAAAACAAAACAGACCATAACAGCCCAGCACAGAAAAGCGTTTCTGTGAGTGTGGTGTACAGCTAAACGAAAGCTATATATGTTAATTGACGCGTTTTTACCTCACAAACTTACACGATTAAGTTCAGCTAAATTCACGACAAGAGAGATCCTGCTTTCCGGTGGTAAGCTGTTACACCATTACCTTCAGCTCCGCAATGTTATATATAAGCTTGTTCAGAAAAATACGACGTCTCAAGAAAAATACGACGACCCAAGGTATTTAAAAATTAAATTATTCCACGAGTACGCGTTGGATTTGAGATGATAGATAGCCAATGAGTCACGTAGCGCCGAGTTGGCTGTAATCATCTCACATCCACAAGCGCGAGTGGAATAACTGTTTTGTTAAAAAAGCCCCCAAGTTGTAGAAAACTAAACTAAAATAAAAATAAATTAAAAACGCCTCAAAAAATCGAGCGTACGCTTATCATATTTGTAGAACATGATGGCTAGGCCAGTGAAAACTCTCGAATTGCATTATCCAATGATCCAGTTTTTAATAACCCGTATTATCCTATGAGTGTATACTTTATACATCACACCTTTCCTTTCTAATCTTTGATGGTTGATTCTTCTTTTTTGTGACAGCTTCAGAAAGGAGAACAGTTTCCTCCACGTGCTATATTCTTAGCTTTCAAAACGTTACATAATTACAATAAAGTTTCTGTTCAAAATTCTTTGCTGTCCATGCAAGAACAAGATTGAGACAACTCTTTAACGCTCCATATTAAAACTTTCAAATTTTTATTAATTCGAGTCCGTATATTTCGTATTCTCTATTTTCCAATTGCCCATAAGTCACTCTGTTTGCCCCCCAAATTTTGCGTCAACTATTGTTGTGAAATGCTCTTGGGAGGTCTGCATATTCCCAAGAGCATTTCACAACAATAGTTTATGCAAATTTGGGGGGCAAACAGAGTGAATTATGGGCAATTGGAAAATAGAGAATACTACTACATGTAGTTGAGACGATTCGTTTTGCGATTCATTCGCGTAATTATTACGAGCTGCAAGTTTCACAGCAGTATGGAGACGTTGCTGACTGTTCGTATAGCAAGAAGCAAGCTCACTCAGATTGCATTGCCAATAAAGTATGACTTTAACCGGAGGTCACGAAATACCACCTTAGTTACCAAAGTCTGGCTCTAATCTGACCCCTTCGGAAGAGCAATGGTAATAGGAAACTTAAGCAAACCAGGACGGCGACGAGAACGTCACCAAACAAAACGTTTAATGGGCAAAACAATGGCTGTGCAAGTGCATTATAAATCTTGGTACATTTCTTTGCCGTCCTCTGCAAAACAGCAACGTGAAATGACCAAATTATACGTTGTCTGGAGAACGTGGACCACAACGGCTAATTTTTCGCATTTCTATTTGGAATTGAACGCATTCGTAGTATATTCAGCAGGGGAAAGTTTTAATACCGACAAACACGCTGAACAGGCTAGATAAATGAGAAATTCCAAAGTAAAATAGAAACACATTTTTTACTAGGTGTCGTCCTCGCCGTAGCCGTGGTATATGCGTGAGGCCCCTAAGGAAGTGAAATGACCAAGTTAGGCGTAGTCTGATCATGAGGAGGGCGAGCGAAGTTTTCATATTTTCATATGGAATTGAACGTCGTCGTTGCATATTTAGCTTAAGCGCGTGTTTAGAGCCATTGGTGTAGTAGACAGCCGCGAATTTCGCTGGTAAAATATAAATTCGACTTTTTTTGGATTGGCGTCGTCCTCGGCGTCGGCGTCGCTTAAGTTTCCTAATCTAGACCATAACTCGTGAATTCAATCCCACCACGGTCAAAGAAATGTCCTTGCACCTTGTGCTCTCTAGAAAAGGCTAATGCCGACAAGGAGCGACATGGGTTGCTTTCAGCTCTAAAAATTACCACAAAATTATTCCCGTGATTAGTGATCTGCTCTTGAGTTATGCTTTACTTCATCAGGCTAAGACCAAACTGCGCTACCAGAAACTTTGGACAATATATTTATACACTTACATATTGTACAGGGGGTGGAGGTGGAGAGGTAGTGGTAGGCGGAGCTGTGGTAGTGGTAGGCGGAGCTGTGGTAGTGGTAGGCGGAGCTGTGGTAGTGGTAGGCGGAGCTGTGGTAGTGGTGGGCGGAGCTGTGGTAGTGGTAGGTGGAGCTGTGGTAGTGGTAGGCGGAGCAGTGGTAGTGGTAGGCGGAGCAGTAGTGGTTGTAGGTGGAACAGTGGTAGTCGTAGGTGGAGGAGTGGTCGTTGGTAGGGGTGTCGTAGTGGGCGGTGCAGTAGTAGTAGGAGCTGTGAACAAACGATAAGCAATATTGTTAGTGACAGATTTATGCACGGTACTGCAGAATTGCGATGGTGGCTAGGGTTGTTGCTTTCGATTTCACCAGCTTCTAAGATTCTGACAAAGTTTGGACAGGCAGACGGGCGCTGGGGTGAAATGGGTGAAATCGCTAAGTCGGCTTTTAGGGCTCTGAATTTAATTCATGTCATGGATGCATTTTATTGTAACTTACTGGGGCAAAGAATTTCAGCGGTTTCAACAACTTTTGTGCTCAGTTGAGAGAAATCTTCCACAAAAATTGTGTCTTCTTGTCTGGATGCGTAACCCCACAACTCGACAGGATCGGCAGCACTAATACCCAAAGCAACGATGTAGATTCCTCTATTTTTCATGGCTGTTGCCACTTGCTCAGGTCTGGGCTCATCTCGGTTACTTAGCTGGGTTTGTCTGCCATCCGTGATAAGTAGGGTAACCTTAAAAAAACAAAACAAAAACTCGTTTATGTTACGTACCGAACCGTCATCTTCTTGGACTGGATATTTGTTTCGATGAACTCAACTGCGATTATTCCCATGCAGGCGTGTCCCATAGAACGAACTTGCCATTAAGCTTATAGTGTGGGTGATCGTGAAACACAGTCTTGTTCATGGGACCACGAGAAAGAAAATTAAAAAACAAATTACATCATGGCGCGTCAAAACATAGGTCTGTGTTTTTGTTTACCGTTTTCGTTTATTTGAAGCTGAAAAAACGCTGATTGAATGTACTCCAGAAAAAAAAGAAAGCAAACAACTGGCAAGATGCATTTAAAACCACTTGTGCTACTGATGATGCAGAACCTGACGTCTACAAGTACAAACTACAGACACTTTTGAGTCCAAAATGATAGGGGAGACAGGAAACCAAAACATATATACTTTGGTTTCAGCATGACATCATTTATTTCCTTTGATTGGCTGAAACCGTCTGCACCAATATTCCATCGAGTTTGAAAGCATTAAAGGAGCTACGTCAGAAACGAAATTCCCTTTTAAAATTTATATATTTCCTTAAAACAACGGGAAAAGGCAATGGGAGGAGGAAGCAAAAGTATTTTAATTTATTCATTTATTTTTCTTTTGAATGGAAGTGGTTAATCAAAAAAGAGTATATTTTGGGAAAGCCACAAAAATCTAAGGATTGCACCATTTAATATTTAGAAATTGTATATGTAATTCTAGTTGGTTGGGGCTTCAAAACTTAAAGCTGTAAACTTGCAGGTCTGAATAGGGTTAAGAAAAGCTGTTTAAAAGCATTTACTTAATCTACACTCAAACAAAAGAGGAATTCTGTACACTATCAGGCCTGTGAATAGCTGTAGCATTTGAACTCATACTTCTTAGCAGTTAGAGTAAATTTTAGCCAGACCTGGGTCGAGTTTTTTGACATTTCCGACGAGTTTTAAAGTCACTGACTAAGCCTTAAAGAAACTGTTCCTAGTGCTCTTGTTCACCTTTATACTTGAGCACTCTTCCCTCTCTCGGAGTCAGTGCTCATGGCCCGTATCATAACGGAAATGCATAAGAAAACTTACCTGTTTAACATCAGGTCTCATCCCAAATCTTTCCCTTAACACTTCTCGATTTGCGAGACGAAGACCTCTGTTGATAAAGGTGCGTTCTTGTGATGATGGTCTATTGATCGATGTTATCTTATCGATAAACTCATCTTCATTGTAAGTGTCTTCATTAAACTCTGAAAAACCGAATATTTTTTGGGCGTCGTTTCCAAATTGGACCATACCAATATGGGAACCGTCCGGGCCAGGATTGACTCTCTTGGCGACATCGACAACGAATGTCAACAAAGTATTCCAGTCATCCCTTACGCTGCCTGAAGCATCCACAACCATCGCCAAATCAATCATACAGTTAGGGTCCTCTGAGAAAAGAGAAAAGCACTAAGAATAAAAGCCACACAAACAACAACAACAACTTTATTCACTAATACATTTACAGTTTTACATGACTCTTTCTTTTTTATACAAGAATATGTTTAAAAGAATATCGAGGCTGAAATTTGCGAAATTTTAAGAATATTTAGAATATTCACAAGAATACTTTCAGCCTAAAATCGGCCAAAAAAATGAGAATATTCAGCCTCAGCCGGAAAACCAATACTCTTAAAAAAAAGTAGTGTATATAAATAAATCGAAGGACAAAATAGTAATGTGCATTCGAGTCTGGAGACTGAAGTAACCTGAAAGGTTTCTAGTCAGTCTCCTGTTATTGTAAGGTTTCAATAGATATTCAGAGAATACAGAATTCTTAAGAGAAGAGATATCATGATGGTATAATAGAATGGAGAAAATCAATACAAGCTTCCAAAATGTTGTTCAGACAATGAGTATATAAAATTTCAGTTGTTTAGCTATAGAGAAATGCACATCGAGCTCGTTTAAAAAAATCCCGCGAGAAGTGATTTAAGAGGCTGTCACTGTAAAAACCGACCACTGATTTTACTTCGGAAATTCGATTTTTCTCATAAGCTGGGATTTCAAAGCCCTTACCTGGCACGCCATTAAGTTATTCAGTAAATCAATTTATACGGTCGGCTCCCTCTGCTTATTTTTCTCAATTTCCATTAGCTTCCGGTTTACCGCCTTGCGGTTTTTAATACCAGATGTTGATTTATAACTGATCTAACTAGGAGATGTTTTGATGATCTTTTCTTATGCTTATTGAAGCTTGCTGAAATATCGTAGCCTCTATCACGCTCCATTACCAAAGGCTGTTAGCCAAAAACGACCCTGACGAAAACCGACTGGCAGCAACCGAAATCGAGCCTAGAATAAAGTTGTCTTTCGTCAAATGGACGAATTAACCCCGTGATGTCTTGGTTATGTCCGTCAATGCACACACCCAAATTAAACTGGCATGACCGTTGATCTATAGACAATTATTTGTGGCGTTGTCGCTTTGGATTATCGCTTTTGTAGCTTTCGGATTTTTTTTTTTTTTTTTTTTTNTTATATTATTATTGTTATTTTTTGATTGTTTAAACGTATTTTGTTTTTTGTTTTTCATTGCATACTTTTACGTTAGCGTGACGTCTGACTAGTTATGCATGAATGTCTGTAAAAAGTATTACATTGCGTGACTTCAGTATCAAAGCCTTTTCAAACTTGTTAACTTGGACTTCCTCCGACAGACTTCAGGCAACTAGATATCAACGTACATACTAGCGCATTGTCTTTCTTCATGCTATTTATTCCCGCCAGAAACATTCCTTTTAAATACAATGTTCTTTCATTCTCATTGGGGCAATCAACTCGTGATTTTCAATCGGGCTGCAAAAAGTACAGATTATCGACTCGAATTCAAAGTGAACGAAACAAAAAAAAGCGTAAAAAAAATACGAGGATCTCTTACGTTGTAATGGACAGGATTGCATGCACTATGAATCGTGATGAACATCGAGCTAGGTGATATTACGCTGCATTACAAGGCAATTATTTCATCCTAGCGTCAGGTAATTTCAGTAGCGCTCCGAATTTAAAACATAACATTCAGTGTACATTAGTAATTCAAGCAACCGCCAATTCGGGGATAAAGCGATTTCGTAGAAAGGAAGCCATGTGGTGCATTAGACATCGTGATCACGCAACGATAGCTACAATTTAGCTGATAACAAAACAATCAACAGAACTACTCACGCGCTGAAATCCTACTCCCAAACCAAACAAGCGAAATAACCACACTGCAAATCAAGCTCGCCTGAGTCATGTTGAGAGATTGCTGTGCTCCAAAGCGAAGCTTTACCACGCGAAAGTTCACAGAATAGACGAAAGGTCGACCATCTATTTAGCTATCTTCGAGGACCAGCAGCGCGCGACACCGCACATATTCTCAATAGATCTTTGTAGAAAGAAAGTTCATGCAACTTGAGCCTGTCTATGTAACCGCAGACGAGCTTAAATTAAACATTATGATAGGTACATTTGGTCTCTCTAACAAAAATTTATTCATAACACACGTCACGACATACTTGTTATGCCTAGTGGTCAGTCGTTGAACCAATGAGGTTTTTTCTCTAACTTTAGAAGTTCTTCATTGTTTTGAAACAAGGGCAATTCATTTTTCCTATTTGGATCAAATGATTCTTTCGGTTCTCGAGTAATATATGGTTATCATTGAGTCGAAGTGAGTGGAATTGCTCTTAACCCCGTTGAAAATAACTTCCGCTCAGATTGTCGAAACGTTAGTCCCCAATCCTCCATAGAAATAACAGTAACCGTGGATTAAAGAGTGCGTTCGGGTATTGGTAGGCTTGGTATGTCAGAAAAGCAAACATTCTAGGAATAGCATTTGCCTGAGCTGTTAGGTAGACGTGAAATTGGCCTCCCTCCAGCAGGAGCGAAAACAAATGAATTGATCGCAAAGCACATGCATACGAGAGGGTTTGTTCTCGTTTATACATGTATTACGTAATATTAGTTACGACCGGTCAGTAAAAAAACCGAACTGCAGTCGGTAGGCCGCATTTAGTCCGCAGTCCGCGTTTTATACCTGAGTCCGTGTTTTATACCCAGTCCGTAATGCTTAGTCGGCGTTTTATACTTAAGTCCGTGTTTTATACCCAGTCAGTCCGCAGTCCGCAGTCCGCAGTCCATATTTTATACGGCCCTTGTAGTTTACTGCCCTTGTAAATGGACACAAACGATACCTCTTCCCTCGGTATGCGAGACGACGTACTTTTATTACCAAAACTGGGACAATTATTCTGTTTACGAACACGACTTTGAAACGCCTTGGCTTTGGGGGAACAGCTACAGGGCATTTTCACTTCCGAAACAATGAAACGGAGGATGACCGAGGACATGTTGGTGTACCAAAGCAATCCTGTGGGAGTTGAACTCTTCAAGTTTCCTATGTAAACACTTTCGTTGGGTTTATATGTTACATATTTTGCACGCAGAAATCTATAGGCCAGCAAAGCGAAACAACACATTTCCTCCTTTGATTTATTCAGCAGAAAGCAGCATTGGTTTTGGTCCAAGAGAAGAGAGTACACAACACGCAGCCAAACTACAGCTTTCTGTTCGCACGAGGTCTTACACATTTCGACTTGTCTGCAAGGTTTTTAAATGCCATTAACACTGACTTCGAACTTTAAATAAACAACTTATTCGCTACAGTCCACAATAAGCTGTTTCGACACTCGAAAGTCCGCTATATTGCAGAACATTCGAAAGAAAGAACATGGACGACCATGGTGATGACGTCGACATTTCCCCCTGAATAATTTTTTTT